ATATGTAAGTATATATACAAAAAAAAAAAAATTTGTAAACGGAAGAACTCTTATAATATGTAGCTCTCTACTCTAGTCTACTTATAAATTTTTATGTAAAAAAAAGCAGGAAAATATTTTATGTCATGTAATATACAATATATATATAAAAGTCAAATCATCAGAAGGAAGATTAAAAAAAATATACACGGGATAAATTGAACAATTATATAAACATATACATATAATGTGGTGATAGTATCTTATATATGCACTTACATTATACTCTTGTATAAAATTTGTATACAGAAAAAAATAAGAGAATTTTTGATGTGATTGCCCTAGGCATTATATATGCAGTGTATATATGAATATATCTTCCATATACAAAGTAAAAACTTATATATGAATTATTATAAATAGTTATACTTATAATAATTGAGTATCTACTTGTATACATTGTATAGATTTTATTATGTATATAGTCTACAAGTTTAATTTATATAACTGCAATATGTTGTACGTAAACACATACATATTTACTTTATACAATAAAGATATTTATATATATGTACAAAAGTAGATTTTTTTCGAGATTGTTTAAGGTATCGAATTTAATTCGAATAAGTACCATTCATTCTATATAATATGACAAACGAAAATCTTTAAAAAATACTCAAAAAAAAAAAACATATTCATTCAAGTTCAATATAATAATTTTTGAATATTGTATTTGTACATGTATACGTATGTATATATGTATATAATATGAAATCTATGAAAATTATTGAGATATTTTTGTATATATTTCATACATAACAGTTAATATAATCATGAAGTTTAATCAAATTTTACTCAATTGCTATAGTTTATTAGATTTTTAGTACTTAAATAAGATAACAAGTGTGCCATTTTATATAAATGTAAAATTTTTCAGAAATTATAAATAAATTTGATTCTTTTGTATTCTAACCTCACATTTATTTTGATTATTCAAATGGGAAGTTGAATTTTTTTCAGAAATTTATTTAATACTATTTTGTACTGTGAAACAAACTGTGACTCAACTTTGATAAATTGAGGTGTTTATCCGATTCAAAAACAAGGATTTGTGCTTTCATTACTTTAGGTCCGCATTTATATGCAATTATAATATGCAAATATTATAATGTTATTAAATTTTGCAAAAAAATAGGTATTTAATAAAATATATTCAAAAACTTGCACTAAAAATATTAATTTACTTAATATTAGTTCTCATTTGATTGTCAAATTTGAGAGAAAATTCGGACAAAAGTTACATACGCAAACAGCATTTTGAGTTTTTACAGCAAAAAACATTTGATAGTGAATTTAGGACCGAGTTGATTTATGGGCGTACATTTGATATAAATGTATTTAAAATAAAGAAATATAAATTTTGGAAAATGTTAGACGGGCATTATGACAAAATAAAAACCATTTCCGAAGTTTAAGTTATTTTATCGTAAATAATCTGTTTTCTTCATAATAATTCATAAATTTAAGGAGTATAACAGTTTAAGTAGAAAGTAATTTTTAATTTGATTTTAATACGAAAATTGTTTGAAAATTTCTTCATTTTGTGTAATAATATTTTTTTTTAAGATAAAATTTTATCCTTAATTTTTTACTTCCACATATTATATTCATTACCCGCATATACATACACATGTGAATATACATCATATACATACATTTATTCAACTGCATTATTCTATTGTACATATATACGAATATGTATAGAATAATACATACGAGTAGTATATATTATTCTATACATACTATATTTATGTATATATACGAGTAGTAATAAAAGTATAAAGACAGGAAAATTTATTACAAATTAAAAAAATTAACTAGAGCTTCATTACCTTCTGTAAAACCATCGTCTTTCATCACTATATGTTCTGATGGTTCTCATCAGAGTTGAGTGATTCTTTTGAAAAGAAAATTTTTTTTTGTTTTTTTTTTTTTATAATGTTTTATATCCGGCTTTTTGTCTCGATTATTTGATTTTGAAATTTCAAACTTTAATTTCTCTTTTATATATATACAATTTTTTTTTTCTTTGTTTTATTTTTTTGTCTCCTCAAAACGAACGTTATAAATAAATCTATAAAAAAAAAAATATTAATGCAATTAGAATTACTACTATAAAAAATAAAAATAAAAGTGATATTATAAAATATATGACATGATATAGTAATCTAAACATAAATGTACATGCATCAGTATGGACGACTTACATACAGAAGTACACTACACACTATACAGTATATTAATTATAATATACGACATTCATACATGAATGGTGTATTAGAGTGTAAAAAATTGGATAGTGTAACATTTGTGTATAAAATAAATTCTTATTTTTTTTTTTGTATAAAAATTATTAGACCACAATTTTATTTAATTACTTTATAATGGACGATCGTATAAGCAATTATTAGTGTACACTTACATGTGTTCTGTGTTATACATACATGGACATGAATGTAAAATGGAAATATTTATAAATTGTTTGAAAACTTTTGTTTTGTTTAACTGAAATAATGGAAATTTTTAACTATAATTAATATGTTTAAGTATTCTTTTTGTTATAATTGAAATAATTTGAAAATATTTTGTTTTTAAATTGAAAAACTTGAAAGTTTTCATTCAAAATTTATAATAGTAAATTGCTTTTGTGTATTTAAGGTGGTGGTGATTTTAAACAATTTTTTTCTTTTATTACAATAATATTTTTGTTTTGGTTCTTTTAATGTATGATTTCTACATTATTTTATGAATTTTTAATTTTCGAAAATATTGAAAGTCTTTTTGGTGAAAACGAGGGGGGCAATTATATTTATTATTATACTTGAGTAGTTTTATATAGTTTAATTGAATTAAAAATAAAAATTACTAATGTGACTTTTTCGATAGTTATTCGAATTGCAATAAAAGAAAACCTTTATTTATTCCCCCACCGTCCTCCCGCTCACCAATTCCTAAAAATGCGAATTTTTGTTTATTAATTGTAACAAACTCAAAAATATTTTTTAAACACTGCAAACACAGAAATGTAGTAGCTGGGTTTTTTTCACAGCGACGTAGCATAACTGAGAATGAAAATGACAAAATGAAATTAACCGTTATCTGAAACCTGTTTTTTTTTTTAATTTTTGATATCATTTTTCTTCTAGACTGTAAATTGTAAGGATCTGAAATATGTATGAGCAGCCACTCTATACTATAATAAATAGTATATTTCGTTGGAAGAAAATTTTTTTCCACCTCCATGCTCTCTTCAGTTATCACCAAGTCAAATTCATGAAATTTGAATTTTCGACACCTTATATTGCCGGAACCTGTAAGTTTTTTTAAATTTTTAGAAATGCATAAATGACATGCAATCAAAAAAAAAAAAAATTATTTTTCTTAATTCATGAAATTATAACCTTTTTAAAATGGCTATTTTTTTTTGTCTCATCCTAAATATATGCAATAATATGAAATATTTTTTATTATATGAATGAAAGTAGATAGAATGAAGAAGTTGGTTTTTTAATGTAATAGACTGTTTTGAAGATCAATATTTTCACTTGTTCAAGAGAGAAGTACTAAAAATAGTTCTTAATCAGATTAAATTAATTTTTTTTTACCATTTGCCCGTAGTTGTTTGAAGCTCGCTGAAAGGAAATACATAGTAGTGACATTGGCATCTATTAAAAAATTTCAAAAAATTCCGAATTAACCACATTATTTTGAAAATCACTTTCAGTCACGTACAGCACGTAAATATATTACAATTTTAATTATATTCAAATAAATATTGAAAACTAGTTCAATTTTGAAATATTTGATTTTTTAAATATTTTTTTTTCGTTTGATTTATTTATGCTCTTTGATGTTATTAAATGTACTTTTAAGGTTTCATACATGCATATATAAATAATAAATTTTTAAAAATTATAATTTATCATAATAAATTTTCCAAATTTGGTTTATTTTAATGCATATAAATATATAAAAATTAAATATGGGCATATGACAATAAAAATATCAATTATATGCTATAATACTAAATAAAATAACATAAATTTAAAAATATTTTCCACTCAATTAATTTTAAAAGTAAAATATAAGAAAATTTGATCCAACAAATAATTTAAAAAATGGAAATAAATTCATAATAAAATAAAAAAATAATAGAAAATCTTTAAAAAACAAAAATGAATCAACCAGATCAATTATAGACCTATTAATATTTTAAATAAAAACAAAAAAAATTTACCTTAAGGGCGTATGAGCACAACATGTTTTTGATGAAAAAAAAAATTTCATTAAAACAATATTAAATATACGCCCTCAAAGGTTAACATAAACCAATCAACCAACAATAGAAAATCCAAAATTTATTAATATAGTTAACATCTGTTATACAAATATACAGAAAATATGCATTTCGAATTATAATTACTTATTATAAAATTAAATTTGACAATTTTTCACATATTCCTACATTTTTTATACCTGTACGAACGTATGTCCGAAGGGTGTACTAAATTCGTCTTACGGTTTGTAACGCTAAGAAATAATAATCTTAGATATAGACTTAAGTATATGTTTTTGATTAGCGTCGACTTCTAAGTCGATTTAATCATGTCTGTCCGTTCGTTCGTTCGCCCTGGCGATAGGATAAAAACTAATTGAGCTACTCTTAAGCTCACCAAATTTTCACAAATAATTTATAATAATAAATATCGGAACCCTATTTAGTGTTTTGGGTAGCTGCCTTACAACTTCGGTATTATCACAGTTATTTGGTATTATCACAGAAATTATCACACATAGTTGACAGTGTCAATTTTATCTATACATATTCTCGTTTTTTGAATAAAATTAATTTTTAAAACAAAAATTTTGGATTTTTTATGCTGGTGTCGTGGGTTAAATCTTAAATTTATGAAATAATATTTTAATTTTATTTAAATTTATTTTTTATTTTTCTATTACAGATCGAATCAACAGCATCGTTTCACTCTTAAAAAAGTGATCGGTGTGCGAATAACCGCACCGCGTCGTAACGTTTTTTGTTTTGAACAAAAAAACGTTAACCGCGCTTACTCACCATCTATCTTTAGATTGCGAATTTTCGAATTTTCTTGGTGGTTATAATTCGCGACGATATTTTCGCTTAAATATTTGTATAACAATTTAACGATTTTAACCGTTATTGTCTCTGCCACCATTCAATACGCTTTACAAAATTTAAGAAAAAAAAAAAATTGGAAGTGTTTATTGAAGTGAATAAAAGAATAAGAATTTGAAAAATAAATATTTAAGTATAAAGAAATAAAGAAGTAAAAAATAGAAAAAGAGTGAATTAAAAATTAAAAATAAATCTAAAAAAGAAAAGTTTTCTGAGAAAAAAAAAATATTTGAAAAATTTAAAAAAAGAAAAGTCATTCAGAATATTTCATTGAAGTGCAAAAAAAAAAAAAATTCTTTAGTGAAAATTTGTTGAAAAAAGTTTTCCAAAAAAAAAAAAAAAATTTTAAGTATAATAATTATTATTATAAGTTTTATATTTAAGCTCAAATATAAAATTCTCATTGGATTAAATAAATTACAACAACAATAAAAGGCGAAATACAGCAGACACTATGGGATTTACTATAATAAAGTGGATTACGTTTATTGGATTTACGGTATTGATTGGTTTGGGTAAGTTTCAATTAGAAAATTTTTTTATTCTTATCTTATTTGTCTGGGTTTTGCCCTTTTTTTAGTTTGAAAATAAAAAAAAAAATTTGTCTTTTTATCATTTTCAGGATTTTCGTTATATATACGATAGTAGTTTTTATGACCATTGAAAAATTTTTTCTTTGATTTCAATTCTATGATTCTTAAAGGAATCGTGTAATTCAATTGAAAAATGAACATTTATTAAAAGCAAAGTAAATTTTGTTTTTCAAAATAATTTTCTGTCAATAAAATTATTTAATAAAATTTTGTAAATTATTCAATAAAAAAATGAAATTTGCACAATGTAGATAATGGCCACACGATCGTACGAATTACGAATACTTGAAAACTGGTAATAAGCATTAGAAAGTAACATGTTAGAAAGCTAGTGTCAGAAATTAAATTGTAAACAGCTTACATCTTATTTATTACATAAGCGATTTTAATAAATAATAAACTCGAAATTTCAATGATCATACAGTAAAATTTCGATCAACAGAATTTCGTAAAAATATTACGGAAAATTTGATTGACATTGCGACATCTGCGACATCTTTTACCAGAATATACACGGTCCTCGAACATCTAAAAAAAAACAAAAACAAAATTGAATCCTGCAAAAGCAATTGCTAAGAATTCGACTTTCCTACTCTAAGTGTGAATTATTGGAACTAAAAACTACTTATGTATTTTCAATTTTTGAGTGCTTTTGACGTTTTATACAAATGTTAAACATCGGGTAACCGAAAAATGAGTATATACGACATTTTTTTTTAAATTTTTATAAAGTGCATTCGTTTATTACTCATTCTAATTACGGTTCGTTGAACTTTTTTTGTTTTTGTTAGAATTATCTTATATGCGCAAGTAATATGCTCTATATTAATATAATACTTAACATTTAAAATAACATATGATATCATTTAGGAGTTTGTTGACACAATATTTATGTAAATTCGAAAATTTTTCGAAAATCCGTTATCTCGAATATTTAATTCGTATATTAATTATAATATATATGTATATAACACATAAGTACAAACACATATTTAGGTTAATTACCCACTCCTTTTTGGTGTTAAAGTCATTTATCATTTTGTTTAAAATGAGCCCATTTAAACAATAAACATAATGTATGTTATGTATGTATGTCGAATTTCACTTTTGTCTTTTTATTAAAATTGTCACTTACAAAGAGTTGAAATCTTATATAAGATGATTTTAAATTTAAATAAAAATAAAATTCTTTTTTTGTTTTTTTTTTTCTTAGCCCTTTTTAAGCATTATTTAAAAAGTGTTTTATGAGTACATAAGTATGTATATATGTACATATCATAGTTTAATGTTAAATAATGTTCATACATAATAATGAGAAAATAAAACATTAAATAAACTATACCTACATAATAATACGAGTATAGGGTCGGAAAACATACCAAAAAAGTAAAAAAAAAAAACAAAATAAGAAAATATTTGACTTTAATACGAACTTACTTAAGGTGTTTTTACCGACCGCATTGCATAAAATAAGGGAGGTTGTGTGATAGTTTGATTGTAATTTTTGATGGGAACGAAATTCTCCACGGTAGGGAAGGATAAATAAAAGTAAAATTTCGGTCTGTCGTTTTACTGGTTTGTCTTTATGTCGGTCTGTGTGTTTACGTGAATATCTCAAGTTCAGCTCAACCAATTTTGAGAAAATTTTATATGTGAACTTATTTCGGCTATGTTACGGATTGATCAACTTTTGAAATAAATCAAGCCAATACTGGGCAGGACAATTTTACATTTTTGCGCGCATATAAAGAGTCGACCATTCAATTCAATTGAAATCTAATACATACATATACTTAAATTCGGGGTATTAGCACAATGAGCCTACCAATTAAACCAATTGAAGAGATCAGATTTCGGTCATATGTTGCTCACCTCCGGTTTTTTTTTTATTTTTTTCTATAAACATTGGTGTGTATTCTTTTTTAAAATGCTCATATTATATGTGGTGTTAAAATATCGTATACTTATATCGTATATAAAAGATTAGTGTAACAATGACAATCATTTACAAACAAAATAAATATAAAAAAAGAAATTTTAAATAAACTAAAAAGGAGAAAGAACGACAACATTTTATGTGCACTTGATTTTTATACTTTAACAAAATTTATTACTATAAGTATACTACATAATATTTAAGTAGAAGTACACATATTGTGCATTGTGCCATTGGATTCTCGTATAAATAAATAAATATTCTTATATTAACATATTATATGTATATAGATTATAAAACTTTGTATATAGAAATATTTATTCATTTCACACATACATAACGACATATTATTGAAGTGAATTGTTTTAATGTACAAAGTAGAAAAGAATTCAACTTAATTTATTGCACAAATCTACTTAAGATTTTTTTTTTAAATGGCTGAGAAAAATTTTAAAAAAGGCAAACCAACTAAGTGAAGTACCCATTTGCGTATGTAGTTTTTTATAGTTTGACGGAATTTATTGTCATTACTCGTTTATATTCGTTTGTAGTTTGACATTTTATCTTTCAATATTACTTGCCTCTTGTATACGAATCAATGTCTCTTGGTATCTATAAAACGTGTACCATTAGAAGTGGAAAATTGTTTTTGTTAAAATTTAATGAACCTTAATTTTATGAATGATCTGAAAAATTATATTTTCTGCTCTTTTATAATTATTTGATTTCGACTTAAAATGCTAACATATTGAAGTATGTACATACTTACATCTGTATAGTTTGCGGTCTGCATTTTTTCTCGAATATACTTGGTTTAATAAACTGAACAAGTTTTAATTAAAATTTATATCAGATTTTTATCTAACAATATGGTGAATTCACAAATTTGCTGGATTATTTAGTAAATATGATTGAATTCTATTAAAATTTAAGATATTTGTTCTGTTCATTGTGGGAATTATTGAAAGTTTATCTTTCGTATTCATACATATAATATTTTTAACCTTTTGTGTTATCCATTTACTAAACTAATACTATAATAGTTCTATATTAGTACGAGTATAATAAAATACACCATGTATGGGGAAATGTACATATGAACACATTATACTACGTACGTTCGTTTATGTGCTGTTCCCATCAAAAGTTTTTTTTTTTCTTGTTGTCATTGTGTGTACTTTAAAAAAATCCTGTAACATATAATATACATAGTTAATATTCATAAAGATTTTAAACAAAACTATAATAAACGAGAAACCAGAAAAAAAAATTATTATTCCCTTTTAATTTTTTTGTTTTGTTATAAGACATTTTTGAGGAGTCGTTTTTGTCGTCTCTGTCATATCATCATTTTAATCAGATCTGAATTTAAGTAAGTAGTTCGCACAACTATTCATATGTATATAAGTATATTATATGTGTTAATGTGTATATAATTTCATATTTATAATTTATTATAAGCAAGCTACTGCTTGATGTTGGTGACATTGAAATTATAGTACATACATATTCGTAATGCTTTGCATATCATATAGTTAATATCTATATATACATAAGTACAATACATATAAATTTGTATATGTTGGCATATACGTACATACATATATGCATATTATGTATGTACATCATTAATGCATCATTGTGTTTAATCCGATTCAAAGAATAATGTCACATTACTGTTGTATCTCTTTACAAAATGAAAAAAAAATATTATAAAAAAACATTTTTAATTTTTAAGTTCCTAGACTCTACTATATAAATAAGTTATAAAGAAAATGCCGCATATCTTATACAATTTTTGTAATAATAAAATTTTTTGTTGATTTTGTAAGGAAATGAATGAGGATGCAAAAATTAAATTTGTTATATATTTTAAATTAATAATTTAATTATTATGAATTATGGAAATGCAAGTTTTATGGATTTAATGTAAGGTCCCCAGTCAGGAATAATGGTGTAACACACAAAAATATATGTATACCTATGAAAGACTAACAACTATATAGACAATGTTACAAATAATTATCCTAGAGCTAAAAGCGGAAATTGAGTAATATGCAAATAATTTCAAAATTTCTGCATGTAATTAATATTTTACTTCAGCTTTAAAAAATAGATGATAAAAGTGTTAACATACTATTTATAATGAATGTATAGAATAGTGCTGAGTCCAGAATTGTAGAGGAATTTGTAAAAGAAAAGAAAATTTTTTTTTTGTTTAAGAAAGAAACTTGTTTAAGTGGAATATTGCTTATAAACCGGTTATTTAACTACACATAAATTGTATAAAGTTCAAGATCATAATGTACATTTGTGCAGATAGAAAATCAGAAAATCAGATATATATACATACATATATTTATTTATGTTGCATGTACATATGAAAATATATGAGATAAAAATGATTTTTACAATCAATTGTGCATTTATATCTAGTATGACATCACAGAACAAAAATATTCAAAGGTTTAAGTATGTACAATAATATTTTCGTACAAATTTTAAAAAAATAATTATGTAATTTAAGTATGCACATAATATTAACAAACCATATAGTTATACTTACAGTTCTTACATATTCAGAAGAAAAAAATCATCGCTATACTAAGTAAGACTCTTAATTCGTTCACTTGCACTATACTTGCCCGCCATTCTTTGTAAAATTTGTTAAAATCATAAATGATAAATAATAATTACAAATTTATTAAAGGTTCTCCATGTACATATACGAGTATGTATATATATCAATATGTGAATGTATATATATACAAAATACCTTGTTTACATAAGGTAATTCTTCACAGATCATTGGCTGAATGAATTCCTCAAAATTAACTGCAGTATTAAATTTCATCTGGTTGTTTTAGAAGATTTTAAAATTTTTAAATAACAAAAAAAAAAAATCTTGAGAATGAAATAAATTTATCGTTATTATTATTATTACTTAATTATACCTATTGTATACCCATAAAAATTAAATTATATT